TAAAACAGGGAAAAGCTAAATCACCAGCCAACATGAGCATATGCAGCCACCATGAGCAGAACAGTAGAACTGCAGTATGTTTTTCATACCTGCTGACAAAAGCAACAATGATTATCTTGATGTGATGATTTGCTGCCAGATATGAAGATCATGTATGAGACTCAGTGGTTTTACAAGATGTGCATTCAACTACCTGCCTAGCCACTGTGACAGAGGCCAAATGGGTGTTGTTTATGAGAACTAAACGGAGACCTAGAAACACCATGGTGGGCACATTATTGCATTTATGTCACTGAGATCTTGAAGCAAGATGGCAACTCCCACAATGGCCACTTGGGAAATTTATCATCTTCCCACTCCTTTTCATTTAAAACTGGAAATCAACAATTGTTGTGGATGGGCTCTATACTGCACTGAACCCTTATTTAAAAATAAAGACCTAGACCATAAGCAGATGGCTGTTGCAAAGTCCATTTGATTGGATTTCATTTTCAGGGGTTAAAGTATAGCAAAACATCATGCTTTGCACTGCTTAGGAGACACCAATTCAGATAATCAGAAGTTTGGAAAATTGACAGCTTTTCAGGGATTTCATTTTAACCCCATGTGGTTTGACAATCTGCAGAATGGAAACATTTAGTTAGTTTAATAGTTTCAACATAGGACTGGGAATCAGGAACTCCCAAGTTGCAAAGCCTGTGGAGGCTTTTTAGGACCTTTGGCTTCCAAAGCAATGGTGGATGTCTTTTCTTTCAGCTACTGCCTGGTCTTACAGAAGGAAATGACTCATCCCTGATTTTATAGTGATCTGATTTATACAGCTACGTTATTCAATCTGATTTATATTCTTAAATTTATCCTTAAGCAGAGAAGATTTTTACCTAACTAGATATTAGAATCGTCAAATATAATCCAATGTAGATACACCAATCAAAGAAAGTGAAAGAACCATCCATAATGCATCCAGTCCCATGTTTACATGCTAAGGGAAGGTTGTCTTTATGCAAAAGGATTCAAAACAACCGCACTTGGATCTAGCTACCAGGAACCTCCCTGCTTTTAGTAGCAGAGAGGGAAGACAGACACCAAACCTTCCTTCTCAGTAGTGTCTCCTGAATACCCTGCTATTTGGAGACCCTTTCCCTTACAAAAGCCTTGTAAGCCCTAAAATGAGTTCAGGCTTACTCTTATATAGAGCCTGTAGGTGGTCACCTGAATCTTAAAGGTGGTTAACTGATTACCTGCCCTCTGGACATTAGTCTTCTGAAGAACTACATTTCACAAAATGTTCTTAAAGGATTTAAAGGAGATAAAAAGAACATTAAGCTGTGTTCATACCCTGAGGACTCCTGCTCTGTTACACTAACTTTAAATCAAATGTTTGAAGCACAATATTGAAAAATAGTTGAAATATTCTTACAAGATAATATAAGATTATTCCGACTTTATAACCTGGTACATCTGTGAGTATTTGATGGCTCCTCAGAAAACAGCTGATTGAACTTCAAGTGCTTTGAAAGGAAAGCTACATGCTCATTTTGAGTGGCACCTTAGGCTGCAAAAAGTGATATTAAAAATCAGTGGAACTTCCCTGCTACTTAATGTAAGTAAATTCAAGCACCAAACACCTTCTGCTATTTTCTCTATTTTCCTACTCCTTAGAGGAAGCTGACATCTCATAGGAAAAGACTTAGCTGTAGCGAGTTGAATTCACTGCTGCAATCA